TTGTGGGCTTTTGCTCACTCTGGATCCTGCAGCTGACTTCTGTTCATCTGACCTACAGTTCTTAGGACTTGAGCTAGAGCTTACCTGCGGTCTTGGGATTCATTGGTCTTCGCAGCCTGCGAGCAAGAGCCCTGCTCTCTGACCTCCTGATCTCAGGTTCGCCAGCCCTGGTGGCTACGTGAATCAGAAGCCTCTAGCCTGAACCACAGATTTTGGGTGTTCCAGCCTCTACAACTGCTTGAGCAATTTCCTAGACATAAATCTCTCTCTGTATATATTATTATATACTTTACTGGTTTTGCTTCTCTAGAGAACCCAGCCTAAGACAGCATTTGGTACTGAGAGAGTAGGGTGCTGCTCTAAAAGATACTTAAAATGTGGTTTGAAGCCATGAATGGATAGAGGCTGGACAAGTTCTAAAGTGCCTAATAGAAAAAGCCTAGATTTCCTTGAAGAGACTGTGGAATTGTAGACATCAAAGACAATTCTGCTGAGGACTCAGAAGGAAGTGAGGAGAGCTGTTACACTGGAGACAGCTCAGATGGTGAGAAGCAGCAGCAGAAAAATGGCAGTAGAACCAGGAAACCAGCATGAGATAGCAGCCGGAGCAGAAGCATAGAGTGAGAGAGCTGAGTGTCTGCTCAGGAGGCTTCGTGGAAGAGTGGGGTGCCTCTGAGCACTTACTAGTGGAGTAAGGTTTGCTGACTCACAGGGCAAGAGAGCTGAGTACCTTTCAGCCAACGTTTCCTGGTGGAGTAGGGTGCCTCCAGGCACTTATTGGTGGAACTAAAGAGTTTTGAAACACTTGCCCCAGTAGGGCAGACACAGGCGGTGAGGCCCAAGGGGCCGAGAGGCCAAGGAACCAGGAAGCAGAAGCTGCAGAGACAAGAGACATGGGAAGCAGAGCTGCCTTGGTCTAAAAGGGTAGGTGTACAACCTTTAGGGCTTCAAAGGGTGGACCACTCAGATGGACTAGCAGAATGGGGCTGCCTAAAGCTGAGAGAGCAGAATTGCTGCCCCAGTGGGCCTGGAAGGTAGAGCTGAAGCCCAGGGCCAAGGGGCCTCCACTCAGAATCCAGAGAGCGTGACCAATACCTTGACTCTGGAGGGCAAGGCCATTATCTAAATGGTCTCAGAAAACAGAGGATTATTTTCAATCCTTGAGGGCTAATGTAATGTGTTCTGCTGACTTGCTTGGTGCCTGTTATCCCTTCTTTCCCTCCAGTTTCTCCCATTTGTAATGGAAGTATCTAGCTTGTGCCTGTTCCACCATTGTACTTTGGAAGCAGATTACTTGTGTTCTCGATTTCACAGATGAAGAAGAATTTTGGGATTTTGGACTTGGAGTTGATTTAAGACTTTTGCTGTGATATGATCGGGTGAATGTGTTTTACATGTGGGAACGACATGACTTTTTGGGAGTCAAAGAGTGGAATAGTATGGACTGAATTGTTTCCCCCAAGATTGTGTGTCAACTTGACTAGGCTATGATTCCCCGTATTGTGTGATTGTCCACCATTTTGTCATCTGATGTAATTTTCCTATATGTTGTAAATCCTACCTGTATAATGTTAATGAAGCAGGATTAGAGGCACTTATGTTAATGAGGCAGGAAACAATCTACAAGATTAGGTTTACCTTGAATCAATCTCTTTTGAGATATAAAAGAGAGAAACAAGCAGACAGATGGGGAAACTCATACCATGAAGACAGCAACTCTGGGAGCAGAGTGCATCCTTTGGACCCAAGGTTCCTGCTCTGAGAAGCTCCTCGACCAGGGGAAAATTGATGACAAGGACTTTCCCCCAGAGCCAGCAGAGAAAGAAAGTCCTCACCTGGAGCTGGCACCCTGAATTCGGACTTCTAGTGTCCTAGACTGTGGAAGAATAAATCTCTATTTGTTAAAGCGATTCACTTGTAGTATTTCTGTTATAGCAGCACTAGATATCTAAGACAGTATTCATGGGGCAGATGGATCTTTCATTCATTCTTTACATTTGCTGACACCTTTAGCTTCCTTTATGGTTGCCTCCTTGCCCCACCACTTATGACACCACAAGTAGGAGGCTAGGAACATGATGACTACCTATTGAACTCTATAAACTGTAAGGTGATGTGCAATGATTATTATTTTTTATACTGGAAGCTCTTGGAGAGCTGGACCATGACTTATTCTTCCTTGAATCCCTCATAAGCCCCAAAACCAAACCCACTGCTGTGGAGTCGATTCCGAGTGATACCAACCCTATAGAACAGAGTAGAACTGCCTCATAGGGCTTCCAAGGAGAGGCTGGTGGATTCAAACTGCTGACCTTTTGGTTAGCAGCTGAGCTCTTAACCACTATGCCACTCCTGAATCCCTCCTACTACCTGGCATATAGTAGATGCTCGATAAACTTCTGAATCCAATCTCTTTTTGTTTGCATGTTTTCTGAAGATAAGTCCAATATAATTCTTATCTTTGTTTCTTTACGGATGAGATGTTTTTCCCCCCTATGTCTTCATTCGAGGTTTTATCTTTGTCTGCAGTCTGAATATGATATGCCTAGGTATAAAGTTTTTGGTATTTCTCCTCCTTGGTGTTCTCTGAGCTTCCTGGTTCTGTGGTTTGGTGTCTGTCAGCAATTTTGGAAAATTCTCAGCCATTCTTACTTCCAATATGTCTTCCATTTATTTCTGTCTTTCTTCTCCTTCTAATATTCCCATTATGCGTATGTTACACCTTTTAAAATCGTCCTACAGTTCTTCAGTATTCTGTTTTTCTTTCTTTTTTTTCCCAGTCTTTTTTTCTGTTTGCTTTTCAGTTTGGGAAGTTTCTCTTGGCATATCTTCAAGGTCACTGATTCTTTCCTTGGTTGTGTTCAGTCTACCGATGAGCTCATCAAAGGCATTCTTCATTTCCATAACAGTGTTTTTTTAAATTTCTGGCTTTTTTTTTATTCTCTTTGCTTATCTTACTCATCTTGCATGTCGTCCACTTTTTCCACTAGAACTGTTAGTGTATTAATCAAAGTTATTTAAAATTTCCAGCTTGATAACCGCAAATATCAGCCATATGTGAATGTAGCTCTGATGCTTGTCCTGTCTCTTCAGAATATGTTTTTTGCTTTTTAGCATGCCTTGTAATTTTTGCTTAAAGCTAGATATGATATATCAGGTAAAAGGAATTGAGATTCTTTTAGCTGCAATCCCCTGTAAAACCCTGTTGATGTTGATGTAGTGGTAAGGTATGAGGGGAGAGGAAGTGTTCTATAATTCTATGATTACGTCTCAGTCTTTTAGTGAGCCTGTGCCCCTGGTTTATGACCTTCATAAGTGCTTCTCAGCGTTTTTCCTTCACCCCTTAGGTGAACCAGGAGGGCTAGAGGGGGCTATAGTTGGGTATTTGGCTAGAAGGCACCTGGAGTTGATGATCCCTTTCTCCCACATGGGAAAGGCTAGAGGGAGTTGAAGTTGTGTATTTCCATTTCTCCGCTATGGTTAGCCAGTACAGTTGTCATCAAGTCAGTTCCAACTCATGGTAATCCCATGCGTGTCAGAGCAGAGCTGTGCTCCATAGATGTTTTTTTCCAGTGGCTTATTTTTGAAGTAGATCACCAAGCCTTTCTTTTATGATGTGTCTGGGTGGACTAGAACCTCCAACTTTTTAGTTAGCAGCTGAGCTCATTAACCTTTTACACTACCCAGGGACTCCCCACTTTAGTTAGGCTCTGATAGAACCCACATTGATTAAGCTTTGGTAAAGTAATATCATTTGAGGGCAGGCTGTTGTTAAGGGGAACAGAGAACTATTTCACAATTGCTAATTTTCCCCTCCTCCTTCAGGAATCATGAGGGGATTTTTTTCTCTGAGATTCACAGTGAGAACTTGGTAGGGCTCCTGGAGTTAAAACTCATGAAAATGTGTCCCCCACGTCCCCCTAAGGCTGGGCCTCCAGGAGTTTTTATCTTTCATGCTAGTCCACACTAGTCTCCAGCAATTAGTCAATTATTCTTTTCAGTATTTCTACCTGATGCTGGGTCTAGAAAGTCTCTTTCTGCTTCTAGTAAGCAATGATTCTCTGTATCAGCCTGTCTATCTCTCTAGTTCTTTCTGCTGGATCTAAGAAACTTACAAGTACTCACTAGTCACATGTGGCTAGTGGCTCCCTTATTGGACATACAGCACTAAGGCATTGAAATGAACCAACCTTAGCTACATACAACAACATAATGAATTTTACAGACATAATATTCAGTGAAAAAACAAAATAGAAAATAATATATGTGATATGATTCCATTTAAAGTTCAGGAAGAAGCAAAATTAAACCATGTTGTTTGTGGTTGACATATAATAGGTAAAACTATATTTAAAAAGCAAGGAAATTATTATCATAAAAGTGAAGATAGTGGTTACCTATGGGGTCAGAGAGAGGACTGTGATTGGAAGGGGTACACTGGGGCTTCTTGGACGCTAACAGTGTTCTTTCCTGATAGAAATGGTATTACATGGTGTTTGCTTTATGATCATTAAACTGAAAATTTATGTTTTATGTACTTTATGCACATTTTAGTTCCCCAAAAAATGAATAGGGCAAAGAGTCAAATGGCTTCACTTGCAGCCCTGACATAGAACCATGTGGGGCTTTCATAATGAGGTTGAGAAAAGAGCAGAGGAGATGGCAGTTCTGCCAATCTTGGTGCCACCCAGAGTTGAATTCTAACAGGGACTTTGTGATCTAGAGAGTAAGCATTAAATATATGGTTTGGTGGGAAGAGTGGATAGGGATGTGTGGGGTGGGGACAGAGGAGGGAGAAGCAGGGAGATGGACACAAAGGAGGACATGAGAAGAAAGGTTTGAATGAAAACAGAGAAGAGGTCACCATCCCCGAATTAAATACAAATTAGAGTATTTAGGTGGTACCATCACCCTGGTTCCTCCCACATGTAATAGTGCTGTGTAGCAAATAGTTGTAGTTAGTTTGCATTAGATCCACAAATAACCTTTTCATTTTCCAGAATTCTCAGTGACAATCATTTGACCGAATTACGTAAGGATTCATTTGAAGGCCTGCTATCCCTCCAGTATTTGTAAGTTAATTAATCATATTTATTTCTGAGTTTTTAGTTATATATAAAATGAATAAGTCTCTTGGATTAGATAATCTCTAATTTTTTTTCCAGCAATATAAGTCTGCAATTCTGTAAGTCTGTAGGGTCCCAGCGCATCTCTAGCATTAAATATCTCCTGTGCATTTCCAATTTTATAGAGACAAGATACAGATAGAAAAAAATCTTCAGTGAAAGAGGAAAAGTGGTAATAAGGTCTGAATAATTATAGACACCCATATGAACTTTGTTTTATAAGTGTGCATATACTGTTTATATTTAGTCTGCAGCCTATGGTCTGTTTTTATAGTGCCCATGAACTAAGAATGATTTTGCATTTTTAAAGGGTTGTAAAAGAAAGAAAGAGTATGAGACAGAGGCTGTCTGTGGCTGGCAAAGCCTAAAGTATTTAGTATCTGGCCTTATAGAAAACATTTGAAAAAGTTTGTTTAATAGAACAAGAGGAATTAAAGTTAACCTCTGTTTGTTGTCTAATAAGGACGAGAAAATATAGAATACGTACATTAATTTGGATACCATTAACCCAAAATTTTTGGATAATTTGATTTAATTAAGTTAACATATAAATATCAAATATTTAATGAAACAGTTGAATTATGTAAACAATATTATAAAGAACATATTTAGCTACCAAGGACTGGTGTTAAGGATTTCAATGCAGGAATGGTTTTACCATATTACAAATAAATGTTTAAAATGATGGTTAAGTGGTATAGCTAGAAATGTTCACACTAAGTAAACATATCAGAAATACCCCTAACTGTTGGCTAAATAAAAAATAAAAATCTCTCCAGCCCTTTTGCCAAGGAAGGAATACTTGCATGGTATTTATATCTATTTAGAGATGAGGAGATACTATGTCCTTTGCTATAAAAGCTTGATTTTTATTCTTTGTCCATGAAGCCTAGAGTTATGTGCATCATTAATCTTTATTAAGCTATTTGATGATGCCCTTTAGCAAATGGATTCTTCTTACAAGTTTGGAAGGCTTAAGAGAATTGGGGATAAAAAGCCTCACATGATACTAAAAGTAGTCCTTTGACTCATCAAACCTTTTAGGCCTTAGTGGGAGGACCAGTTTTGCATTGATCTTCTTGGACATCTCTGGCATCTGGGCTCCGAAACCTTACAAACACAATTTGGAGAAAAACAAATGAGATAACCGCTCAGTGGAGCAGGTCCTTCCTTACTTCTACTTTGGAATACTTTGTAAGCTAGTTATTTCATGTTAGTATATGTATTCTCATTCATTAAAAAATAGTCAATCAATAAAAAAGTTAAAAACAGTATGTCAAGCACTGTGCCTAGGGCTGGTGGTACAAAGATGTGTAAGACAGGGTTCCTAACCTTCTAGAAACTCCCGATGTGGCAGGGGAAGCAAACACATAAGCTCGAACCATAAAATAATAGGCTGTAAGTGGAGGACTAAGTGCTGCAGAGCCATGAAGTAATAAAAGTAAACTTTGTAAATAGTCATTTTCCTTTATGTCGCCTTAGCTATTCATTCTTTTGATAAATAATTGAGGTTGCTTTATGTCCATCTATCAGTTTTAAACATCGTAGGCAATGCACATGAGCAAGACCTCATCTATGCGTTCAAGGAATTCATGCTCAGGGGAAATGGGATACAAAGATAACTATATTAAAAAGAAGAAATAGATACGGGCACTGAGAGGTATAAATTATTTCTGGAGCACAGAGTAGGGAGCAAAGACTTTCAGTTGGATCAGGGAAGATGTTACTAGAGAAATGCCGTTTGAACAGGGTCTTTAAGGGCCATTGGGTATCATCAGACAGACATCTTGGGAAGAATATTGTAAGATTGCAAAAGGAGGGTGGGAGAAAGGCAAAACACAGGAAGTGGAATGTGGGTTTGAAGACTGTCATGAGTACCTTTGGGTAAAAGTAGGGAGAGTAGGAGATTGGAGCCAGATCTTCTAGGCTTTGAATGCCAAACTAAGGAGCCATCATGGGGAACAATGTTATCACAGCAACGCTCTAGGACAAGTGGTTCTCAAACTTTAGTCTGCGTCAGAATCAGGGCTTGTTGAAGCACAGATTGTGGGCTTCACCCTCATAGTTACTGAGTCGGTAGGTCCAGAGTAGGGCTAAGAATTTCCTTCTTCAATAAGTTCCCAGGTAATGGTGCTCTTTGAGAACCACTGCTGGAGAGTTAATCTATGTGCAGGGTGGATTAGAAAGGGAGAGCCTAGAGATGAGACACCAGTCAGAAGATAGCTACACCCATCCAGGTAAAAAGTGAAGGACTAATGCAGGGTAAATGGAAGTAAAACGGTTAACTATAGTCAAGAATGGGTGTTTTCAAATAAAAATCCAGTTCTATGTTGCGTTTTTCGTGTGCCACCACTGTACAACTGTAGCAATTGCATTCATGGCACATTAAGGCAGTATAAAACCAAACACAAATTTCTATTAATATGATAAAACTATTATTCTAAATTTGTTCAAGATTATATATTTATTAGAGGAGTAACTCCCTTTCAAATTATGTCAGAGGGTATCTTTTATTTCTTCTGGTATTGAGCTGGCCTAGAAAAAGAGAACTAAGCCAGGAAGGTGTATAAATGTGAGAATATTCCTTTTAATATTATAAATTATAATTATGCTGAGGAATAAAAGCTTTAATCTCGTTGAATTTAGACTTTGATGTGACCACAAAAGATCGTCTAATCAATTGTCCTACTCTCAGGAAAGAGTACCTCCAAAATCTATCAAGATCCATAGTTGTAGATTTTACTAATGAAGGTGAGACTCTTAGGGGAGGTGAGGGCAGGGTTAGGGGCCTTGGAAGGTTTAGATAACCATCAGTAAGGTTTATAGTTTAGACAAAAGCTTATTCAATATTATTCTGAACTCTGCCATTTATTCCTACTATTTTAATGTCTAATAGCTAATTGAGGCAATATTTTTCTTTTACTTTTCCTAGAGATTTATCCTGCAATAAAATACAGTTTATTGAAAGACGTACATTTGAATCACTACCTTTTTTGAATTTTATGTAAGTTACAAATAGAACTTAATTTTAATTAGAATTTTTATAAAACCTAATTGTAAATCTTTTTGCTATTCATTTTGAAATATTAAAGTTTTATTAGTGGAAGGCTACTAAAGCTATGTAGCAAATCCTTTTCAGCTCTAACAAAGATTAGTGTGAGAATTATTATACAGATAAGAGTAAATCATTCTAGAGCAGTGGTTCCCATCTGGGGCGATTTGCACCCAGGGGACATTTGCAGTGTCTGGAGAGACTTTCGGTGATCACAACTGTGAGTGTGCTATTGACATCCTAGTGGGAAGCTGCCAGGGATGCTGCTGAGCATCCTACAATGCACAGAGCAGCCCTCACAACAAAAAAAATTGTTGTTGTTGTTGTTATTAGTTCCCGTTGAGATGGCTGTGATTCATGGCGACCCCCATGTACAACAGAACCAAGTGTTGCCTGGTCCCGTGCTATCTTCATGATCACTGGAACAAAAATTTACCTAGCCCAAAATGTCAATAGTGCTAAGGTTGAGAAGCCCTGTTCTAGAGAAATAACCATCACTTAATCTAAGTTTTATTATTTACTGTTTTGTACCTAATGCACCATATGTATAAATATGAAAGTATAAATTATAAGCAAATATCTTCCATAATGAGATTTTCTTAGTGTCTGGAGGAAGTATCGAAGTTATTTTTGACCATAGATAAATTAGAATCATTGCCAAAGGATGGATGTTCTGAAGTAATTTTTTTTTCTCTTGCTCGTGTCTGTTTTTGTAGAAATCTTCGTTGCAATTTAATCATAGAAGTTGGCTTTGGAACATTTCAGGCCTGGCATGGAATGCAGTTTTTACACAAGATGTAAGTGAAATAGAAGATGGATACATGTAAAGAGATCATTTATGTGTAAAAACATCACACAGTATCATTTAGCTGGATATATAACCCAGTACAAATTCTGAAACATATATGCCTTAAGATCGATTTTTTTCTAATGAGGAAACTAAGGTACAAAGAGGCCAAGAGACTTGTCTAACTCAAATGTGGCACGCTCTGCTTTCCCTAGTACTAATCTTTGGCACGGGCTTTAAAAGTCACCAAGCCAGTAACAGACAAATCAGCAATGTCATGGGAATTCCGGTGATGCTGCTTGGGTGTGTGGATGGGCCTTGGAATTCCACCTTTGAATTTAACTTGGATTCCAGCTCACATGTAAAGTTTCTCACTGCTTAAATGTATGCAGTGTTTAGCCACAAAGCACAACGCTTAGCACAGAGCCCTCCAGGGAGCAAAAGTGAGAGTGCTTTCTCAGCCATCAGCTTCTTTGAGATTGTAAAGTAAAAGGAATTCCTGGAAACCTGCCAGACTGCACTTCTCTTCCTAGCGAACCAGAACGTTATTTTTCAAAAAGTATATACATTTTTCAAAAAGTTAGGAATCATCTATGCACAGTAGGAACCTTTGAAGCATGAAGAAAGATGGTGTTTATGTTAAGCTATAGTGTGAACACGTTAATAGAGAAAATACATTGCTCTAGCCTAATTCCAAATGCCTTCTTTCTTGACTGCTTCTCAAACAAGAAGTGTGGGTTTTATTCCCTTTCAGCTAGAAAATTCTGTGATTTCTCTTTGACCCAAGCAAATCATAGTGGGTATGTTCAATGGCCTAATGGGAATTTTGGACAAAGGTCAAGCTTCTCCCCTAAACCTGACTTTGGAAAAGACTGTCTCATGGTTCAAAAATCCGTTTCACACAGTTCCTTTTGGGTGTGTCTAGAGCCGGATTAACGGATCTTGCAGATGCCAGTCTGTAGCCCACCCCCACCCCGGGGAAAGAAACTTAAGGGTCCCTTTTTCTTTTGCCAGCACCAGAGGCTCTTATGAAGAATCTATGATAAAAGACCAGCGAGGAAGGTCCTTAGGTCCCACCACCAAGAAACTTTGGTAGCTTCAATAACAATGTCATAATGTTCCTCATAAGAATTCAGTTTTCACTATAGTTATGTAGGCAACATGGGGGGGGGGAGTGTGGAATCACACTTTAATTAATGAAATCAATCAAAAACGTTCACTGAGTGTCATGACCACTGTGTACCAGGCACTGTACTAAGTGCTGGGAGTACAAAGAGGAATCGGACAGGACTTTGTCCCCAAGAGACTTTCAGACTGGAAGGAGGAAATGGAGGTTGATGGGAAAACACAGAAGAGCCACACTAGGATCCCTGCAGCAGGGTAACAAGGTAGGGGGATGGCAAAGGAGGGGAACGGTAAACCCCAAAAACCAAACCCATTGCTGTCGAGTCAATTTCGACTCATAGCAACCCTGTAGGACAGAGTAGAACTGCCCCATAGGGTTTCCAAGGCTGTAATCTTTACAGAAGCAGACTGCCACATCTTCCTCCAGGAGAGCGACTGGTGGGCTCGCACTGCCGATCTTTCACTTAGCAGCCAAGTGCTTATTCACTGCACCAACACAGGGCTCCAGAGGAAGGGTAGGGGGTTAGAAAAAATTCATAGGAAAAGTGGATGGAAGAGAGACCAACTTATTTGTCTCAAAATTCTGTGTTGATCTTAAACAAGAGAGAACGGCATTTTCTAAATAGCAATGAAAGAATCAGAACTAGCTGGTATTGGAAATCAACTAATGAACATGTGATTTGAATACAGCTATACCTCTAAAAAGAAGCCTTGGTGGCGCAGTGGTTAAGTGCTCAGCTGCTAACCGAAAGGTCGGCAGTTTGAACCCACCAGCCACTCCGAGGAAGAAAGATGTAGCAGTGTGCTTCCATAAAGACTACAGCCTTGGAAACTCCATGGCGCAGTTCTACTCTGTCCTATGGGTTGGAATCAACTCGACAGCAATGAGTATAGCCCTAAAACTAATTGACAGGTATGTTGAAAAGATTGGCACAATTGTCACAATGTGTGTTGGAAGCTGGGCTACTTCTTTGTTTTTGGTTGAATTTTTCTAACAGGTAATTTGCCACAAGTGAAATATAAGCTTTACTGCATCTCTTTCCAAAGGCAAGTTGCCAAGAAAAGATGCCACCTTTAAAAAGCTAAGTAATTTTATGACCCATATGACACAGCACAGGAGTGTTTACAAGTTAAAACAGTATTTTTCCTGCATTAAGAAAGTTTTTTAAAAAGGTCCCAGCCAAGGTGGATTTGACATGAATTGAACAAAGCTTAAAGCCTTAGGGCCCGTTACTTGCATAGCCCCCTTCCAAAGTCCTGGGAGGTGCCCTAGCAATTTTTGTACGTATAATTTTGCACTTTTTTATTGGAGAGAATATCCCAAATTAGATAAGCTTCAGGCCCTGTAAAACTTAGGTTCCAGCTAATTATAACCCAGTAAGTAAATCTCCTGAAAATGAGCCCTGGTGGCTCAGTGGTTAAGTGCTTGGCTGCTAACAGAAAGGATGGCGGTTGGAACCCACCAGCC